GCATTTTTGACCCATTCCTGCCTGCTTCCACAATAAAACCAGGCTTTTAGGCTTTCCCTAGCACAGATATTTTTGAGAATACTGGAGCAATTATGCTTGCCATGTGGAAATTTTTCATTTTACACCAGAATTCAAAATCTCCTGTAAATCTAATAGATTTTGCAGGCTGCTTGCACAAGCCTGCATTACTTTTTGGGTGTAACACCAGTAGTGGGATGCCGAGTCACTAATCAATGGCATGTTCTTCTAATCCAGATGTTCCATATGTTCTTTGTGGACAATTCACAGCTGGAAAGGAGGGTCATATTAACTGGTTTGGAGGGTTTATTAGCTGGTTTGTTCTAGTTGTAATGCCTACTCACATTTGCATTTAAACTGGTGGTCTTTCATCAGAGAGGGGAACAAAAGATTTGTTTGAAACCAAATAGTGAAAGTAGGTTAAGGGAGCTCTTAAGTCACAGGAATATTTCGTAGCGTGTGTAGGCAAGTTTGGGAAGTAGAAAATGGCCTGGAGTGAATGGCCTGTCTTGAAGGATTTTAATCATTAGCACTGGGAGTAAAGCTGAGCAACAGAGAGTCAAAAAAATCAAGTGAAGAAGACAAGTCTAAAAGTGGCACTGACCTCGCTCAGATATTTTATCACTTATGATTGACTCTGAATTTTTTTGTCTCAGTTCAGAACAGCAGGTTTGTCCCTGTGGGGTATATAAAGGCCAGGCCAAATGGAACGGAGCTGGCACTTCTTTCAAACTCCTCATTTGGTGTATAATCTCACATCCAAGTCAAACAGGACGGATGAAAAATTGGAGTATTATGTCATCCAGATTCTGTGGAACAGTGAGCTGTAGCTCTGGCGCCTGAGGAGACTGTCTAGAACTCACCATGTCTTGTCGTTTCACTGTATTTTTGGCAATATTGGAAAGTTTTCTCCAATGATCTAGAGCCAAGCTTCCTGTGAAACTCCACTGTCATTTAATAAGCAGAAAATAAACCAATTAAGAGTGGGAAGAAGCAGCTTCAAAGCATGGACTCCAACTCTGGGGAAAAAGAGGGAAAGAAAAACCCCAGGGTTTATTCTTAATCCTATTAATTTTGGGGAAGGAGGGGCTCTGGTGATGTCTTAGAGATTTTCTAGATCTCTTTGAGCCTGGGAAAGGAGGGGTTTGGGAACTGAGATGTGCCAAGACCTGTCAGTGCCTCTGCTCCTGATGGAGATGGGGCTCCCAGTGCTGTTGAGTACAGGGAGGGTTTTGTGCTGAGAGAAGCAACTTTCTCAGGAGCTGGTTTCTCTGTGTACATGGGGAGGTAAAATTGTTCATCTTCTTCCTAGTGGTCCAGGAAATGTCCACCAGGATGAGCCTTTCCAGAAAAATCCTGGGTTTTGAAATGCAACTTGAAAGAGTGCTAAAAACGGCTGCAGAAAAGGGTAAAGAACTCTCCTACTGCTCTCCCCAGGCTTTGCTCCCAGGGCTGTACCTCCAGCCCATGTGGAAATAGTTACCTCCAAATAACACAACCTGTGGGACTATTTCTGGTCATTTCACAGAAGCCTTATTAAAAAATAGAGAGTTTATTAACCTGAGATTCAGGGACTCGGCTTCATGATGAAGGCTGTAAACTCTCAGCCTATGGTAGTTTTACAGGGATGATTTGAGGGTTGGAAAAAGAAATCTTGCAGAGAGAGGCTTAAGGTGCTTCATTTGGTGCACTTAGCAAAAAAAAAAAAAAAAAAAAAAAGCAGATCAAGCAGTGCCCTGACTCTGGGCAGAAAATGCTTTTGGAGGAAAAAATACTGTGTACAAAAAGGGCTTTATAGTCTAATAGGGGGAAAACATAATGAGATGCAATGGCTGGAAATTTAAGACAGGCAAAATTGAGAGATTGGGAAGGGAGAGGGGGCAGACTGTTGAAGGGGGCAGGGGATTTGTCATCCTTTTGCATCTTGAAATCAGAACTGGAGGCCAGCCCAGATGACTGGTGAAACATATAGTAGTAGGCTCAATTAGCGAGTGAATGTGTGAAATTATTTTCTTGGGGATTTATATTGAGCGTTAAACTAGATGATCTGAATTGTCCCTTTCAGCCTTAAAAATGGAGGAAAGATGCCAGAAATGAAGCTAAATATCCAAATTCTACCAAATTGCAATAGTTGGAGCCTCTGGGCTCCTTTGGGAATGGCATAAGTGAAAGGAGAAGGGCTGCTCTGGGCACTGGGTGTGTGGAAGGACAGTCAGAATGAGGGATGCCATCACATGCCTCCAGCACAAACCCAGTTGTAGCTGCTTTTCCTTCTTGGCCCCCCAACACACTTTTCTTTTTTATAAATTTTATTTTTGAAACTAAAAATACATCCTCAGAGGCATTAGTCACACTGCCCACATATTAATAAATTGCATAATGATGCCACCAAGCATCCAAAAACCTTTCAAACTGTTATATATTATTTCTTTCAATAATATTCTAAAAGGCCAGTGAGGCTTAATGGAGCCACATGGTATTGTATTTAATCCAGAAATCTGGAACTGTCTAAAATCTCATATATAAATTAAGATAATAAGATAATATACAATATGTTTTTTCATTTAATTTGGTTTTCCCCATTTGGGTAAGCTATTACTCTGTAAGTTTGTGTCTTTTGCAAAGGATTTTTGTCTACCAAATCGTAGATTTGTAATGTTGCTCTTGCTTTTAATTGCCTGGGGCTGTTCCCCATAATAACTCAGCCAGTCCTTTGCCAGCTAAAGGAAAGCTTAATGGAACCACAGTTTAATTGGGCAAAGTTTAGAAGTTATGCAAGTAGCAAAGTTTCCTGGGACTTTTCCTTATGGCCTCTCCTGCAGGGCTCCCTTGGCATTGCTGCAGGGAAAGTCACTGCCGTGCCATGGAGATGGTGACCTCGGCAGAACAGTGGGCACAGATTTGCTGGTGGCTCCTTCATGACTCTCCTTGGACTCAGCTGGGTGTCTGGCATTTACACACATGAATTTTTAGGACATCAGGAGCCACTGAGTAAAAAAAAAACAAATCCAAATATTTCCTATGCTGGAAAAACATAAGGGCTTTCTTTCAATCTAGGCTTTGGGTAGGAGGCTTGCTTTCATTAGTGTCACCTCTGGACAGGCCCACCTCTCCTGTACAGTGTCTGCAGGGGGTTTTCACATGTTCTGTCAAGCCATGGCAGATATCACAGGCTATGAGATAAGGAATCACTAAATGTTGCCTTTTCCTCCTTTCTTTTCGACTTCCTTCATGCCCTTGGAAGCTCTGGCTATCACTGCACCAGGGTGGAACAAGACTGTGGAACAGGAACTACGTCAGGACCACAATTCAGGTACCTTCTTTTTTTTCTTATAATCTGCAACCCAGTAACCTCAAAAATTGCTGGTTTTCGAGCTAAAGTGCTTCAAGAGATGGAGGGAGAAAAGTGTATGTTCTTGGGTGCGTTCTGCTCTGCAGTTTGACATCCTGGAGGAGAGGAAAGCCAGGTGTGGAAACAAAGTGAGTGAGATGATTTCTTGTGGGCTCAGTGGAGTAGATGCAACAGAGGTGCTGAAATGTGGAGCATACCTTTCATTTGAGGGAATGCATAGGAGAATTAAACACATTCTGGAAAGCAAGAGGCCTGTGCATTATGAGGGAACAACTCTGAATCACATGGGCCCAGATTCTGGTTGATCATGTGAATAAAATCTCTTTCAGGATTTAATACCTCTGCTCATCATTTCTGGTGGTTTGGGTTTTTTTTTTCAGTTGGCTTTTAATTTTCCTTGGGTTTGTCAGGACTAGACCTGACTTTGAGCAGGGATATTCTCAAGGCTGCAATCTGGTTTTGACAAATTTTTGGTATGAGCAGTGTGCACAGAGGCTCTGTGCTCTCCTCATGTCTACAGGATTTGTCCAGTTTTGGGAAGCTGTGTGATAGATGCCTTTAAATTCCCAACCCTCCATGGTTTCTTTCCCTCCCTTCCCAATGCTCTGCTCACCAGAAGTGCAATCCACTTCTGTCTTGTCACTTAACTGATTATGTACAAAACTGCTTGGCTCCTGTGTCCCAATTCCTCTCCAAACTGGGCTCTGCATTGCTGCTGCTGCATGGATCAAACTGCACTTGTAATAAGCATCTTGAGGTGCTTTATTGAACACCAGATCTATTAAACTAAGAGTTTCCCCCCTAGAAACATGTGAGTGATATAACCACTTGTCTTGGTCTCACAAACTCCATCACAGGGGGCAGGCTGGGTCACAGCAGGATGCATTGCATGGGAGGGGGGAAGATTATCCATGAAACTTCATAAGCAGAAGCTGTGCAGAGACAAACAGGAGTGAGCCTGAGCCCTTGAGGCCACCACAGCCCTGTCACCTCTGCCCAGGAGGCACTGAGCTATATTACACCTTCTCCCCACCTCTGTCCCCTCCTGGGTCTTTTGGGACCCACAGGGAAAGGCCAGGTTTGCTCCCGGGGAACTGATCCAGCCCTTGTAAAACATTATTGCAGGGGTCAAGTGAAAACTGACTCATTTTTGAGCAGGAGAACAAGGTCATTTTCTTGTAGCCCAGTAATTCCTTCATTTTTTATTGGTGTTGTTATAAACCAACTTCTCCGAGGTGCTGGGACTTCGCCTATATTGCATCCCTGTTCCCATCCGGTTCCAACAATAAAACCCTTGCCTTTTTTGATCTCTGGCTTTCATGCTTGCTGACACACTCTGGAAAATTTAAGAAGGGCGCAAGGAATGGGTTAGTCACACTTGTTAATATTTATCCCATTGCAGAAAGAGCAGGGCTGACCTCAGAGCTTGGGCTTTGGAGAATAGTTATGAGAATGATTCCACCCAGCTGAAACGAAATCTGCATGCAAAGCTCGTTTGGTGCCTGGAAAGAGCTAGAAGGAAATAAAGGTCTTAAATGATATATTTCCGCAGTTAATGTTTTGTCCTGTTTACAGAATCTCACCAGAATACTGGGGGTTTTGTTTTGTTCATATGTTTTTCATAAGGATAAATATCCATGCAGTTCAAACGTTTTCATTAGATTCAGACAAGAAGGAGGATGTGGGATTGTTTTTTTTTTTCTGTAATTGTTAATCTCTCCATTTTTAAATTGTTTTTCTTAAAACACTCTTCAGAAATAAAATCTCAGGTAAATCAAAGAGACGGGGAAAGTAATTCTCTTTAATTATTCTTAGAGCAATTTTGAGTAATGTAGGTTAAATTAAAAAAATATACAAGCAAGATATTTTGGCTGGGAAGTATGTGTAATGTATGAACAGCAGGAAAAAAAAAGCCTTCCTTTCTAAATAGAAAATCTTTGAAAGTAACAGGGGGAAACGGATGGGAAGGGCTGAAGTCCATATATTCCCACCTCCTCCGCCTTGTGCTCTCTTAAAGGTGAGCTGCAAAATGCAAAAGAGAAATGTGTTAAATTCAGATGACTCGCTCGGGTGTCAGGAAGTGGCTCGAACAACCACACGAAGTTAACTAACACATTCCCTTTTTTTTTTGTTCATCCCCTCCCTCCCCTGCTCTTCTCGTGAAATCTGGTTTTTTTTGCTGCTGTGGTTTCTGCCTCCAGGCGGGAGCGCAGCCACTTGTCCACCTGAGTGGCACCCCAAGACCCCCCCATGGCTTGCAGAGAGCCAAGAATTTCTGGGATGATCTTCCAGAAAGTAAGAAAGGAGGAGAATTTCAGAAAATGTATTCCTGATCTAAACAGCCTGGCTGCAGGAGAAATGAGATAAGCTCTGAGGGATGGCACGTTGAGCTTGTGTTGCTTTGCTGCTCATCTTTTGTCTGATCAATCCATCTTATTATCACCCACCTGCTCTGTTCTAGGTCTTCTTCAGCAACATGGTTCATGCCATTCGTGGGGTTAAGTATCCTGGTCTCAGGAACCCAAAATGTGAGTAGGGCTGTGTCTGTCATCAGCCTTCAGCTGAGGCACAGAGAGAAGCAGTTGAATGTGGGGAAAGACTTTTGGAGCTGCAAGTGGCAGGATTTGGTTTGCAGCTGGATGTGTGTAATGGGAATAAGTCTCGTTTAGAAGACTTTGAAAATGGTTCAGGTGACCAAAAGAAAGTTGGAAAAGCAAGACCCCTTATCCATTAGAAATATTGCCACTGCCATTTGCAATGACTCCTATCCCATGGACCAAGAGCCTTGCAAAACCTCACAAAAAGGGTGCAGACAGGTGGCTGCTCCTCATTAGCTTCCACTTTTCCCTCTGGAAATGCCTCCCATGCCTTTTGCCCAGAGCTTGGCAGTAGGTGTGCTAAGGAGAAGGTTTAAATCTAAATGGAAGGGGGTTATCTGATTTATAGTAAGTAGATTTCTCATTTCAAATGGCAACACACAAAGCCCTGAACGTTACCTTGCATCAATATAATACACACGCACACATGCCATGCATTTATGCCTAGGATATAAAAATAATAAATTATTGCAATGCTGTGTGTCTGCATAGAGCTAACTCATGTAGCACAGCATGTTTATCAAAGGACACTCCTTAATTGCATACTAGTATTTTTTAATTAGTCATTAAGTTGTAAGACTCTGTCTCTCTGCTGATTTATGTTCTCCTTATTTACAGTGTGAATGACTTCTGCAGCAATTCCTGATTTTAATTTTCTATTCTTTAACGATATACAAGATTTCAAAATTAGAGGTTTTTTGGGTTTTTTTGGGATGGGGGTTGTATTAAGGATAAACGCAATTATACTTCTGAGACTCTTTAACTAAGGAAAGCCAAAACAGAGTATGACAACAATGGCTGTTCTCCCCCTCTTAGGGGGAGAATTCTCCCTGTTTTCCCCTCTAAATAATTTATCAGAACTGTTCATTCTGTGTTACAACCACAGGAAAAAAAAAAAAAAAAACAAAAAAACAAAAAACTGTGGATTTGGGAACACCTCTATAGTTTAGTTTCTGGAAGAGAAGTAGCTAAATTGAAGTAAAAAGAGAAAATTAATATTAATTTTAATTTCTCCTTTGGGAGAAAGATTAAATGAATTTTCGAAGGAGGTTCTGCTCCTACTTAGTGTTGAACCTGATGAAGTCACCCAGCTGATCACAGCTCAGTGGAGGAGGTACAGCATTTGATAAAACCTCAGCAAAGGGAATTCAAGCAGCAATCCCCTTGCAATGAGAGGGGTTATTAATACTGAGGATCACTGCTCCTTCGGGGCTTTAGCTTTATTTTTTCTTTCTGGTGTAAGCAATTTTCAGCAATGTAGAGAAGTTAATACACCAGTGTGGGGGCTCCAGGCCAAGTGCATGGAACTTCTATCTTCAGGCACTTGTGGAAGTGTATAGGATGTGTCTCCTGTGTCCTCCTCCATCAGGAGCAGCAGTGGTCCATGGCTCACCAGTGGATGCTCCCAGTTCACACTCAGAGTCACTGGTTGGTGACATCAGAATGCCCTGGCCACGGGACACAGTGACAGGCCCTGAGCTGATGTGCCCAAGGTACTGCACACTATGATGTCCATGGTACCTTCAGCTCCATAAACCTGCTACCCTGCCTCCTAAAGCCCCACGACCCTGCATTTTCCCCTGCTCCTTTATTTTTCACGGTGAAATAACAATTTTCCCTTCACACCCTGCTCTGGCAGCCCAGTAGAAAGATGATGATCCTGTACTGCACCATCTTACCCAAACCTGTGAGGTGATAGCTGGTTGTTGCAGGAGATGAGAGAGGAAACTGATTTAGTCAAGGGTTTTTACATCAAGTGTAGATGCCATAATATGTTCCTGCACATAGCAGCAGTTGCAGAGCTGGTGCAGTAAGGGTCAAGGCAGCTGTTTAAATTGCTGCATTATCCTTCATCCCTCCCAAAAACCTGCTTTCCCCTAAAAATCCTCCTCTGACATGGCCATGCCAATAGCAAGGTGTTGTGACCACTATGCTGCCAGTAGCCCTATTTTTCATTGCTGCTTACCTTTTCTGTTCTGCAGGGCTGATTTCTCTGGGTTTATTTATTCCTCTATTAATGCAGCACAGCCATGCCATAGTTTCCCTTTGGCAGGACTCATGTCTGCAACTCTGCAGCAAGCACCCCCAAAATGTCCATTCCCATGAGAGCCAGAGACCTCCTCTTTGTAGCTTTCCCCTGTCTTCACAATTAACCTCCCCAAAATTAACAGTTATGGGGAGTTTTAAAACTTTTCAAGAGGCAGTGGCTTCGTTTAGGCAGCAAAGCTGTGTATTGAAATATGAATTAGTAGTGTGTGTATCGGCAGGATAGACCATCTGCTGTGCTCAGCACCCGGGTTTGAAGCTGGTTGGCTGGCAGGACAGCATGTGTTTACAGAAAACCCTAACAGTTGTAAAGGAGCCATTTAGGTTTATCGTGTCAATTCCTGTACAACTCCACACAGAGATATTCCTTTCACAAACTCACATAAAAAAGACAGATAGACTAGTTTTGACCTCTCTCGAAACATTTGACGGTTGAGCTTGTTGCAAGGATAAAATATCTAGAAGAGGAAAAAAAAAATCTTGTAATTTCCCCCTCTTAATCATTAGACTTCTTGAGTGCAACATCCATTCATAGCTTAATTCTTGCATTGTAATTTAACTGCCTTTTATTTTCCTTCTGAGATACAAACACAGGAGCTGTACATGATTTTCATACCACATTATGCAAGACATTGTGAAAAAGCTGCCCAGAGTAATGGCTCCATTTCAATGTGATGCATATGCCAAGATACAGGGATCATTTATTTTGCTTAAAAAATTAAATGAGGATGGGATTAAAAATGTTATGTTTTGCCTATATGAGCAATTCCTCTATCAGCCATTCTAAACATATTGCCTCTTTGTAGCTCCTCTGTTATACAAATTGTCCAAGGGAAGGCACGTGGTAGCACACCAAAAGGGTTTATGCTGCTGCACGAGCATCCCTCTTTCCAGGGACTTGCAAAGCACAAATATTCCAAGGACAGGACAGAACAAAACCACACTGACCCTGGGGATGCCTCTGGACTGAGTGCTCGGTTGTTTTCCCACAGTTGGAGGAATTATTAAGGAAACAATCTCTTTAGTGAATGTGCTGAATCCATTGCTTAGCAGGCACCCATGTTGTACATATGATTTGTGTGTGGATGGATGCAGAGAAAAAAGGGAACATTCTCCTACATCCTTAACCAAGCCCTTGGTCACCGTGTTCCGTGTGTGCCTCTGCCAGGCTGTTGGACTGAGAAGATAAAATAAGAGACAGCCACATTCTGATGCATCTCTCAGATAACTCCTTCCAATGTGCAAAAGAAAAAAAAAAGAAGTATATTAATACATAGGTCTTAAGACTTCAATCATTTTTTTTTTTTTTTAATGCTCGATTCTTTTAATGGAAAAATCCATGAAGCAAGATGAAAGATGGCAAGATGAGAGATGGCAGGATGGGGGAGAAAACTCACTCTTGCAAACATATCCACCTGTTTTTAAGGCCCCCTCATATGGATGCTTTAGGACTGGGGATCAAAAGCTGCATAAAAACTTAGTGTAGCCAATATCTTAAATAGGAATACAGTATGTTGGTAGTTTGTGAAGGGTTCTATAGCTTATATGAAGTAGCAAGGCTTGGGTAAGGATAGGAGAATGGTGGGGTGAAATGAAATTACCTGTTTTTAAGCTAGGTGCTGTACTCTTAAGAATCCTTCCTCTAAATTATGCCTTGGGTCCTTGGAAATGAAATATCAATGCATTACTACTACTGTGTATTACTACGATTAGAACCACGGGGGTTTAGGTAATTTTTGCTTATAATCTAGTGCATCTGTGTCTAGATATTTTATGTGTGTATATCCATGTATTTGGTTTTTTTCTCTTTTTTTAAATATTTGTAAGTTCAAAGTTCCTTTGACCCGACCAGCAGCTTGTGCTTACAGGAGTCAGGATTTGGTGCTCAGTAGTGGAGGAGCAGAACAGGATGGATCACAACTGTCAGATTCCTTCCCCAGGAAAGCAGCAGATTAAACATGAGCACAGGCTCTCTCCTGGGGATTGCATTCCATGTTTAGGGAGATGAGGAGGGGAGGGCATCTCCAGCTGGGTTGCACAATGTGATTGCAGGACCAGATTTGGGGATTGGTGCAGCACCTGCCACACCACTCAGTGACCAGGGAGACGCAGTGGAAAAGCCCTGTCCCCTCTAACAGCAGCATCTAATGCAAATGGGAGAGCAGAGCCCTGGGAAGTCATCAGGAAAGAGTTTGGTGACCTAGGTGCTGGTCTCTGCTCTCAGGTGCCCACCTTGGCCATTTGCATTAAGACACTTTCAGCCAGACCACAACCACTTGCCCGGCCCTAGAAATCTGCCAGAAAAGAGCTGTTTTGGGGAGGTAAGTCACTGATTCAATTTGCCAAGCTGTCATGGTGGAGTCATCTGTAGTGGAGCCTAAGACTGAATCCTATTTTCACATTTGAAAATGTTACAATCCAAAATTTCATTTTTGTATTTAAACTGTGTGCCTCCAGTCTCCTGTTCTAATTTTGTTTGTGATTCAGTTATAAGTCTATGGACCTGTGGACTAAAAATGCAGCAACTTTGAGTGGTGTGTTTCTATGTGTCATTATTTTATTATTATCATCATCGTCATCAACGCTATTATTATTATTATCACCTATTTTGGGGGGATTATTCTTATATACTCATTTCCCTTGGCTGGTGGAATGCAGATCAAAGAAAAGCATGAGAATGCCTGTGACAGCAGCATTTTTCAGACTTTTCCTGAGCATCCCTCCCATTTGCCTGCGGATGGGATTGGGCGTTTCCCGCGCGGAGCGGAGCGGTGCGGCCACGCCACATCATCCCACTGCCTATTTTCAGGCTGTGTGCTGTGCCCTCCCGGGTCAAAGCGAAAATGGGAGAGGATGGCAAGCCAAAGCGTGGGGAAGATGACTCACTGGATTATTTTCTGCATTGCAAATATAACCCTTGAATTCTTGCCAATGTATCGATACAGTCAGGCAGCGAGCCTCATGTATTTATATTTATTTATGCTACGTAATGCCTCAGTCAATACACTCACCTATTTTTTTAAATATTTTGTTTATTTGTTTTTTTCACATATTTTCTTCAAATCAGGCACTGAAGGAGCAAAACTGCAACCCACCCTGTGCAATTCCTTGTAAACACAATGTGCCGAGATTTCCAACAAGCACCATCTCTGATAACCACAATCATTCCCATTCCACTGAAACTGGTCAGAATGAGTTTGGAGAACTGGGCAGCGCCTGATCTTTCTGTGGAAGGAAAACGCAGCTCAGCTGAGGTATGTTTTTACACAGAGTGGGGTTATCTTTGCTCCTCTCTCTTGCATACAGATGCTGGTCTGCAAAACCCAGCCCTGCTCTGGTCTGCATGTCCCACTCTCTGTTTTGGGAGGGGAGAAGGGAATGAGGTCAGGTGTGGGAGAGCTGAGTTGAGGCCATGACTACTGGGGAAAACACAAACATGGAGCTCGTAGAGAGCAACATGCTTGATACTCCAACAGGAAACTTCACTATCAAGCACTTGGTCTCAGGGATCATTTTATTCTCAGAAAGTGGGGCATAAATACAGAGTTAATTATGACCAGAACCCACAGCAATAACCTGTTTATGGGAAAACTCTAGTCCTAGTCTAGAAAAGCTGTAATCTTCCCTTGCCATCTGAAATTTGTTTCTTTAATAAGATTATATTCTTGACTGAAAAAAAGAAAAAAAAGTGAGTTAGTTTGATACATTTATTGCCCTTTGTCAGGATGGTAGTATTTTTTTCTGCTTTGAAAATACATGTTCCTGTTTCTATGGCTGTATATTTATCCTTTATTTTAGCTTTTTCATTACTGTTCCTTTTAATCATTTAATGAGGAGTTCAGGTTCCTGATGATTTAAAATTATGACTCATAGAGACACTGGCAATATCTTTGCTGGAGAAACGTCGATCCTCTAACTTTAAGACTTTAAATTCAAACCACATGTTTTTGCCACTAACTCCAAAAACAACCCCTGGAGTTGTGTGACTGTCACTAGAATATAAACCAAAGCCATTCTGCAAACAAAAGCTGCAGTATTTAAATAGCGATTACAGTCAGAAAAGTGACTATTTTAATCATTGCTCCGCTTTACTCGGGAGATCTGCTCCCTCTGCACATTCCAAATATCTCTGTAGATTTTTATAGACTGAAAGGAGATTTTACTGCCTTCCACCTCTCTTAGCCCTACAGAGGCCGGCCAAGGCAGGCGGGTGAGGCAGATTTGTTCCAGACTCGCACATCCGCGGGAGTGTGAGCTGAATTCCCGCGGCACGACCTGTGGAGCCGGTTATGTGCCCGCCAGGACACGCTTTTGTGCTCCCCGGGAGCTCACAGGGTGCAGGGCAGTTAGAGGGGGAAGAACAAAACACAAAACCAAACCGCGGGGGTTTTCCTATAAACTAGTTTAGTTTGAAAAGGGAAAAAAATCCCTGAAGGGCCTCTTGGGCTGGAAGGGCTTTTCTGAGTGCAGCTACCTGGAGGTACCCCCTTCCAAGGGCAGGGGCTCTGAGTAAAGGAAAAAATAAATTTCAAAAAGTATTAGATATAGAACTGGGAAATTGAAAATAAGAGGATGCAAATGTCTCAAGGAGATTTTCATTTCTTGCTGGCTTTGAGGAGTGAATTAATTTCCTTTAATATTTTCCTCATATGGACACTTTCTTACAGTGTTCTGGGTGCTGAGTTTCATCTTCTTTGGGCTCCTACAACCCCAATCACTGCTTCCCCTGACCCTCAAGCTCCATTTCATGTGTTCAAAAATCCAATCCCATTTAGAGGGTGGCTACTTTAACTCCCTATCTTCATTTATGAAATGCAATATATGTATTTTATATCTACGAAAATCCCCTATTGCAGTATTGGGAATGTTTCTCTGATATACATGAATTCAAAATAAATTTTGTTAGGAGAACATCTAATTCATTTTAGATGGTTTTATTAGGCGTCTCTTAACAAATCCCAGAGTATGTAAATGAAATATAACTATACGTACATATTCATCAGTCTGTTCTTGGAATTAAATATGAGCGCTGTGACATTTGGTTTTAAGGAATGACTAATTAACATGTGTGCAGGATGTTCTCATCTTCCTGCTTTGGAGTCCCAGAGTCAGGGAAAAGCACACAAAGCGTATTTCCACTCTTTCTATCATAGTTTGCAAAGCAGAAAGCTGCTCATGACAGCCAAGAACTTCTCAGGCGTTTCTGTACCTGTTGGGTGCTGACACAGGGCCCCTTCTTGAACGCTTGCTGTTGTTAAATGTCATCCCGTCTGCTCTGGGGCCAGAAGTGCATTTAAAAAATCAGCTTTGCAGCCGACCTGGCTTTTAATAATCACACCAACAAGTCACAGAGCACAATAAAGAGCAGGACAACTTCTGGAGTACAGCCAATGTGCTGTTGATTTACCTCCACAACGGGATGCTGGAAAACTGGGCTGAGCCCTCGGATGCTCCCTATCCCCACTGTCCCAAAGATGCTCTCTAGGAAAACCTGGGCTGGATCCTGTAGGGATATTTGTGGGTTGGATGCCTCAGTGCCATGCTTGGGAACACCAGGCTTTACTGCACTGCTGGTAAAAACCCAGAGAAACACCCACATTAGTTTTCAGCAGGGTTGGCTCGAGTCGCTTTTGTGCAAGAGCAATGTGTGTGCAGGGCATACACTTTTTGCAGCAGAAAAAAATTTGTAAAGAAAAAGGAAACCAACTGTAATTTCTTTCTGAGGGTGCTGGGGGAGGGTGGGCACACCACACCGCCCCGTCTGAGCGCCCTGGAGAAGTTGACCAGAACAAATCTCAGCAGGAACACACAAACCTCTATTATACCTTTTAAAAAGCTCCCCATTGAATGCAGCCGGGCAGATGGGAAGGGCCCTTTTATTTCCTTTTTTCTTTCTCCGCCTGAGTTCATTCTCTCCCTTTGGGGGAGCCAGGTTCAAAGACATGCCAAATGCATCAAAACCTTCCCAATAAAGCCCCTTTCACCTCCCGGCAGAGCAGGGATGGGACTGGAGTGTGCTGGGAGTGCTGGGTCTGACGGTGACTTTCAGGACTGTGTGTGGTAAATCGTGTGCACATTTCCCAAAACAATGCCCTGAATTGGACGTCTAATTCCCTGGAAATTAAATCCCTCAGCTGGTCAGGGAAAACAGGAGCCAAGGAGATTAAACAGTGCAGTAAGGAGAATCTTTGAGGATTGTTGGGGGTGTTCTTGTGGGTTTGTTGACATATTATTTTTAATGCAGAGGGGTAGCAAAGTAGTAGTTTGCTGTTGCTTCCACTGTTTTAATTTGAACCATGAATTCCCCTCTTCCTCTCCCAATAATCCACATGAAAAACTACCTCTTTATGCTCATTACCCAACAGGTGAACTCTGTCCCAGCAAGCACAACCCTGTTTCTGCATGCAGAACTAATTTCTGAGTCCTTAGGGTGAGTGGAGGGGGATGCTGCAGCTGCAGAGCCCGTTCCCAGGGCCCAGGGCATCCTACATCCTGCTCAGGTTCCTGCTAGACCTGCAGCTCCCAGCACCTTTGCTCAGTCCTGGGTTATTTATCCCAGTACAAACTCAGCTGGAACTGGGATTGTTTGGATGTTAGAGAAGCCAGAAATGGGGCTGAAATGTTCCCGTGATTTTTTGTTACTGGTGTGTTAAATACAGGCAGGTCCAGGCACGATGCTCCAGTGCAGCGCAGCGAGTGGCTGGATGCTGGATAAAAGCACAGTCCCTGCTCCTCAGGAAGCGATCTTTCCCCACAGGGCTGCTTTTGAACTGCTACAAGTCAAAACTTAGTGGGCCTCACAGTGGCAATTTTTTTTCCTTAAAAAAAAAAAAAAAAGCAGCTTCCTATGTATTTTTACTGACAAAAGCCTGACGCTTCCTTTATATGCTTTATTTTCTTTCTCCTCTGAAACGATCGTTAGACAAAAGCAGTTTTGCTGCTGGTTAATCAAGAGAGTGATGTGGCCCTGCATTTTAATCCTAAACCAATTAGCAGGATTTGACATCATGCCATTAGACTGCTTGAAACAAAAATCAAGGACAGCGTAATGCAGCTAGAAAAGAACAATAACCATCAGCGCTGCCCTGTCAAAGGGGAAGGAAGAAATTTGGCTGCGTCTGTAATTTCCGAGCAATCCCCCTTCCCTAAAACCTGAGCATTCAAATGAGGGAGCTAAATAATAATGAGAGGGGGAAATGTTGAATCTCTAATCACATTACCCTAAAAACTGCACCGGTTTTAAAAGCAGAAATCGCCGCTCTTGCTCCTGAGCCGGCACAAATTGGTTGCATTTCCAAACCCTGAGCTGTGGTTTATGATTTCTGTCGCAAGCGCTCCGTGCTTTGCAGGTTGCGCCTCGGTGCAGATGCACAGCGAGGGACCCCGCGGGGTGCGAATGCACCAGCATCCCTCAGAAACAACTTCCTGGACGTGGAAATGTTTACTTTGTCCAAACCACCCTAAGATAATTAACGAACAAAGCACCTTTTAGCAACTGTACTTTTTGCTGGCAGGAATGCACCTCACGGCTGGTCCCGCAGCGACGGCGGCACAGCCTGAGCCGGTGGCCGGGACTGGAGCTGGCCTGGCAGGCGCTGGCCAGGCCACGGCTGCTGCCCGTGGGCACAAACAAGCCTGGCGAAGATACAGGGTGAGAACAAAACTGCAGGCAGGCCCCGGGGTGCAGTATTGGAGGGATGAATGCCTAAAGCACATCGGGGACTCTGCGCCTTGCTGCGCACTCGGGGCTGGCAGCGGAGAGCGGAGCAGGAGCGAAACCCAGCATCTCGTAAAGCAGCATATGGATATAGCACAAATGGATGGGGTTTTATGTCCTGGGCAATATTTTCATTGATATTTATTTTGATTTAATTTGGCTAATGTGCAGGGAGAAGTGAAAGCGTGCCATACTCCTCAACATCTGATGAGGAGCTGAATACTTTTTAAAATTAGTATTCCCTCAGAGGCATCGATTTTTAAGGTCTGCCCGGCAACCGTGCTGAAAAATCATGAATTACTCCATGTAAATCACGGGATGACCCTTGGAGCAGCAGATTGTTGTTTTAATGTTGAATTTTTTTCTGTTACTATTACAGTTTTCTAGTCTTTCTGCTTCAGCCTTTTTGTTCATAACTTTAATTTACCTTTTAATAAAAGTGTAGTTTTCCACAGTCTCAAGCCATTTCAAAGAGAGGGTTCAAAAAAAAAATTAATAAATTATCATGAGATTTGTTGTAAAAGGGTGAAAGATGGCAATTGTCCTTATCCCTGCTTTGAGAGAGGAGAGGCTGAAGTGGAGCCAGGAGCGATGGCCACAAATTGTTACGTGAGGCTGGAGACTGGGGTGCAAATCTCTGCCAAAGACTTCCAGGGCGAAGTTGGGCAAGTGACATAAATCTTCCTCTCTCATAGCTGCCATCTGCAATGCGGGACAAAAAGAGACCATTTCCTCCACAGGGATCTGTGTATAAATGCCTTAAAACTGGCGAGGGGTGGCAGCAATGGCAGGGCCATGTGCAGGCTGGAGAGGGACAAAAAATAATTCCACAAATCCGCTGCCTTCCCACCAAAGCAGGTCTCCCAGAGCTTTGTGGCTTTGAATTTTGAGGGAATAAATTTGTGAGAGGAGGTTAGGATGGGTAAGGTGAGCAGGGGCCGGGGGGTACCCAAAGCATCACCCCAAACCCCCCCTTTGCCCCGCCAAGGCGTCCCCAGGGCTGCCTCCTGCTGCACCACCGGGATTTTAATGTCCCGCTTCCCTCGCCTGTTAATAAAGGAACAAAAAGCGCTTTTGCCTCCTCAAGGGTGTTGTGAGACAAAGTTGGTAAGTGCTGAAAAGAAACCCAAACCCGAGGAGAAAGCTGGCTTTGTTGCCTTCGGACACAGACCACTGCAGACCTTGCTCGAATTTTGCTGTAACATCTCTTGAATGAAAACGTGTTCTTCCAAAAAACCGAAAAACACGTCCTGGCTGGAAACGGCTGCCAGGAGACTGAAAGGAACTGCAGATTATAGATCCTCGGGGCTCTTGTGGCAACAAAATGTTTGTCCCGTGGATTTGAGCTGGATCCAATGAGTCCAAAAAGTGCTGGGAATGACTGTTTAACCCATCCTGTGGAAAAAGGTGGAAAAAACATCCCAGGAGGCTAAATAAACAAACAACAGCAAGAAAACACCTTTAAATAATAATAATAATAATAATAATAATAATAATAATAATAATAATAGTAGTGTTAGTAGTAGTAGTAGTAATTATAATGGGACATTTGACAGGAAAAAGAAAATTCAGAAGGTCAATGGCTAAACCGCCACCTGAATTTTAAACTAAATTGGAAAGTAAAGAAAATAAATTCAGTTGGTTAGACCTTGTAAACTGGGCTTAAAAAAAGTGTTTCCAAGGACAACAGCAGCAACAAACTCTGAATTTTCAGAGTCAGAGAGGGCACCTTGGGGTACCAGGCAAAGAGGAGAAGAATTGTATAAAACATTACTGATTCTGTATTTTGTATATCCTGTATTTCACTGAGCTCTACAAAAGTAAAAACCACATTTGCATATTCCAAACTTGTGTCAATATCATGATAAATGTTTTGTGTTCATAGTCTCCACAGGAAAATAATTTTTTAGGGGGAATAATTTTTTTTTTAAGCTGTGCTAAACTAGATAAAATCTAACAGTAAAAAAAAAAAATTTCTAGAGCAAGACTAGGACAAAATTATCACAAAATGGAGCAGAATAAGGAGTGTACCCACAGGCTGGCATAACAGAAGCGTTAATTACTGGAAAAGGCTACCAGAAATAGTTAAATAAATGACATCTTTAGCAAAATGGTGCTTTTCTGCTGTGTTCCAGGCAAGCAAATATATGAGTCAACATCTGAAATGTGATGCAGAGAAAACATTGCAACTGCTTGGTTGATATCAGGTACATATTATATTTATAAAACCAGAAGTTTTATCCTTAATTTAAAAAAAAAAGCATTGTCTCTTTGAGATCTTTGATTTCCCTTACCTAATTTCTAGGTTCAGAAAGCAATTTTTTTAAAAATTATTTTACTGTATTTTATTTTCAGCTACAAAGTCAGCCTCCTTGAGCTTGCAATAATTTGATGTGCATCCATCTTAATTGAAGCTGATCCATTTCAGTCTTGGCAGCACATTGATAATAAACAAGAACCAAACACCATTTGGCAAATTCCAATCTACCAGCAAACCCAGGGAGGAAGCAGAAAACCTGGGATCGTCTCCTGGAATCATTTCCTGGGCTGCAGCTCCGTCTTTGTATGTATATGATTTTATTTTATTTTATTTTTTTATAGCTAAGCAGTTATCATCATAATTGTATTTGTAATTTCAAAGGTACAATATCATATTAATGGCTGATGAGCACTCAACAGTTATGAGAAATATTAATTAAAGAAGTTCTCCTGTCCTAGCAGGGACAGTGTTCCCTAACCCCCATTATAGAAATTGGTTAAACCAAGAGAATATTTATTTTATAGTTTCAGCTCTTCAGAAAGCCTTTGATATCCTAAGCTAAAGCAACTGCCCATCAGAGACAGAAAGATGTACTTTGGTCCCCCATGCCAGCTTTTTACTTATATCTGCCATTTCATTTCCCCTGTAATATGGGGGTAAGTCTTAGCCAACATCTTCATTTTCATTCATTAATAAAATCATGGTAATATCCCACTTTTCACTTAGCTGTCTCCCAGGCACTTTGGAGACTGTCTGTCACCATGGTATGTGTATATATATATATATATATATATATATATATATATATAGAGAGAGAGAGAGAGAGAGAGAGAGAGAGAGAGAGAGCACTCTGCCCAAAAATGACCATTCAGTGAAGTTTTTCAATATAAAAAATGTCAAAGTACTACAGGACTCTATTATTATCACTTAAAACTCCATGAAGCATTAAAATCATGAGTGTGGGAAAGCTGGAAAACACAACTTGATATAACTGTGTCTGTCGATGGGTTCTGCACTCCCTCACTGCCCCAAGCTTAGCAGTCATGCTTCTCACCCAAATTTCATTTTTTCCTAAAATAAAAGGTCACTTTGTGCCATGCCAGAAGATGCTTTGCTCATCCACTGTTCTGCTGTCCTTCTCAGCTTTAATCAGCATAGGTGAACTGCATCCCTAAATAATTTGAAAGGCAATAAAAACAAGCACACACAAAAATTACCGCAGATTCTGCGTTCTTGAAGAGGGAGGAAAAAATGTCCTGAAAAGCTCTCTTTATTAATATGAGATGGCAAATATTTTTTGCTGTTTATTAAATCATATGAAAGGTTAATTATGGTTAGCGACTGTGGGTAGAAAACAATTCTTGGAAGATGCTTTTGTAACAACAGGTTGGCAGTATGCAGAAGCCATCTGCTTCCTGCAAATGTTAAGGTACAATCTCAAACTTGTGAGGTTAAAAATTACAGATTGCAGAGTAGTTTGGTAGAAGGAAAATCCATGTTGTGTTGATGTAAAGTTGCTCAGTCTCCTTGACACACAGCCTGGAAGGAATGCCAAGTTCCCTAAAGGACGATGTTTGGCTGGAGAGGACCCTCGCTCGGGGTATTCTGTGCTCACACGGGCTGTCTACACAGCTAATTAAGTCATTTTTGTGCTATGATTCATCTTTTTTAATACAAGAACTGGTTTCAAATCCTGACCCGTGAATAGGAGTGAATTGTGGCTACAATATTCTGCTTTCAAGTGGGGAATCAGCTCCTTCCATGAAGAATAGATAAAGTCATTATCAAGGAGACACACTCCTGAAACTTGTTGCTTCAATCCACAATGTGTGGACTTCACCACGGCTGCAAACTCCTCATGGGCAGCACTATTGGTGAGAAAAGAAGAGTTCTCAACCCCATTTTATGAACAGTGATCTGGGCAAAAAGATAGGAAGAGATTTGTCTGTGAGCACACAGGGAGGTTGTGGCTAATGGAATCAAACACAGATTTTTCAGATGGCAGTGAAGTGCCTTAACCACAAAACCATTCTTCCTCTCTGTGGGTCAGCTACGGTGACTTCAGCACTTGGGCTGGGCATTTAAAGATGTTTATCTTTTTCCAAGGATCAAATTTAATTCTGCTGAATTTTCCACTTCTGGAAAACATCACCTACTCTTTCCTTCCCCTCTAGAGATAACGTTGCCCAACTTTGCCTGCTTCCCACCAAGGAAAGACAAATTGAACCACCTGTAAAAGAAGGGATGGGGAATTGCCCCTTTCACTTTTCAATCAAATAGGGAGAAACTATTTGGGTTTTTTTCAGACACTCTGACCCAACGTGATGTCATGCAACCTTCAGCCCCCTTTGCTGCTCCCCTGACTTACTTACAACCTCTCCCCACACTTGTCTCTAGGAGCTGACTGCCAGCCAGCTGCTGTGTGAAAGAGCTCATTTAGGAAAAAATCTGGGCCCTTGTTTCCTGTTACTCTACCTTAAACAATTCTGTCAGGGCTATGAATGTCTGCAGGGGTTTCTTCTCCAAGACTGCCTTTTTTCCTAACAGAGACTTTCCAGCTAGATGACTATTTTTTAAAGCATCCTATAAAGTGGTTTTATCTCCTCCTTTTGGGTTGGAGTTGGTAATCCACCCCATTATCAAGGAAGGACACCCAGCCATCAAAATCCCCCTAGATGGAGGAGAGAGGGGCAGACCTGACCCCTGGGCTGTGCTGAAGAGCTCTCAGTCATTCATCACAGCCTTGCTCCCCAGTGCTGGCAGCACCCCTGGTTAGCAGCAGCAGGACCTGCCCTGCCCTGCATTGTCCCCTTCTGCTGCCAACCCTGCTGCTGCCTCATTGCTGTGAAACTCTGAGCTAGGGGCTGCTGGTGGGCTGCAGCTGATGGGATCTTCTATTTCTGGGCTGCAACCACTGATGGGGATGAAGGAAGCAGCTCAATTCATCTCCCTGACATTTTGTCAACAGACCTGGACCTTTCTTTCTCTTCTTCTTGGTCTGATCTCTTCAATGAAACTGAAGATCATTATGGGTAATACCAGCAACACTTTCATCAGCCTTCCTGGAGTGCCCTGCAGGAGTTGGCTGCATGTGAGGGACTGAAACACACAGAAATTAGGGATGAGAGGTTTCAATGCCACCGAAGGGATTTGGATGCCCAGCATCCATTAAAATGAGTAACAATTCCTGTCCTGCCCTAAATGGCCGGAGCCCAAATTGCTCCACGAGATGGAAACCATCTTGGTTAATGCATGGACACTTAAGCCCTCAGCATCTGACTTCACTTATATTTTATTTCCAGCAAACTTGGTTGATGATGTCCAATGAAACACTTGCACACCCCTTACCCTCTCCCCAGCAGCTCATCGCGCCGTCACTTGCCAGCTCCACTATCAGGGGAAGGTGATGAAGGTACCTAATTTGTTTGCAAGCTGGAGAATGATGTAAAAGGTTCCTCGTCCATCACGATAAAGGCTTAAAAAAAAAAAAACCCCGGACAAATGTTCCTTCCTCTCATTTCGCCCGTGCTCCGTGAGGACGTTTGAAACAGAGGGAAAGTTCAGTGTAGCCATATGTACAGAGGGGCTGCACACAAATCACAGCTACTGCTAATTGGATCCAGAGATCTAATTGGTCCCTCGTGGTGGCACCCTGGGCTGCTCCTGCCTCCCCTGATTGCCAAGGGGCTCAGCCACTCAGAGCATCATCACCAAGCAGAGCAGGCATTCAGGGCCTTGCCCAACCTGAGGGGAAGATGAAGATGTAAAATAAAATATATAATAATTTAAAATAGCATAATGTAAAGTAACTCCAGGTGCTTGCTCTGAGGCTAATGCCTCATCCAGAAATCATCCCTACACCAAAGCATTGAGAAGCCCCACTAAAATTGCCAGAAATAGGATGTTTCCCACATCCCCTTCCCTCCATAAGTGCAAAGCAACATGCCTGTCTACGTTAGGGACTATTGGTCTTTTTTAACCCTTTTTAGGACCACTATCATCCCATCCAATTCCACATGTGAGCCAACCATGAACTCTGGACTTGGATGCTCCCAAGTTACCTGGGGAGCAAAGTCCTGGGGAAGTGGGGAGGAAATACCCAAAGTTTGGTCTCAGGTCCATTTTAGTCCTGGAAAAGTCTCTGAGTCTTTTATTATGCAAACCTCCTCAGCCAATCCTGATTTTAATAAAGTTGATTAATGATTGTGCTGCGGACAAGGACAGTTATTTCCTGACTTATGCTACGCCATTTATGGAAGCTGTATCCTTAAATGAATTACTGCAGGGATCATTAAATTTTGACTTAAATTGGACATAGTAAGCTCATTTGAAAAAATAAAAAGCTTAGCAAGTTATATATAAACTAGAGGAAAAATGAATCTCCTCAAGCTGTCTCCCATCTCCTTCTCAAGCAGGAACCTAAAGGGCAGATTTGCAAAGGGAGGTTTAAATTTGCAGGGCAAATCTTCATGAGGGCACTTTGAAGCTGCATTTGTGCAAGTCCTAATTGAATTATGGACACAGAATTTGGACCTTTATCCTCATTCAGTTTAATAGGTCCCCAGATTTGAGGTTAGCAGTAGAAATATGATTACTCTGGAGAAGGAAGGTGAAAACTGCCATCTCTCCCTGTGTGGTGTCAAAGGGGCTGGTGGGAAGTGGGTGCTCCTCCCATGCCCTGCACTGTGGCAGCTGAGGGGACAGAGACTCAAAGAAGAGGCACACTGTTTTTTAATGGGATCACCTTTAAAAGTCACATTTAAAAAAATGTTTGATGGGTTTAGGAGTTGAGTACTTCATCCCTGAGCAGTTTCAGAGGGAGGATGGGCATGCTGGACATGGATTTTTTTTTTTTTCTACTTTGCAAGCACTTGAAAACAGTTCAATTTTTGTTTGGTTCCCCTTGTATAAAATTGCCAACTTTACGCCTTGATGCTGAGAATAATCACAGGAATGACCAAAGAGCCTTGTGAGGGTGGTCACAGAAACATTGCTCAGAAAAGCTGTGGTGGCCCCTGGATCCCTGGAAGTGTCCAAGGCCAGGTTGGACAGGGCTTGGAGCAACCTGGGGTAGTGGAAGGTGTCCCTGGCCATGGCAGGGGTAGAACTGAATGAGCTTTAAGGTCCCCTTCAACCTAAATCATTTTATGAATATTCATTCATTAAATAAAAAGGACTGCACCTTTGCCTATGGATAGGTTTCCAGCAGGGGGGACAGAGTATAAGCAAAAATAAGGTGATAAAGTAGGGGGGGGTTAAGTAACAATACTCAGACCATTCTTAACATCCAGACTGTAAACTCC